CCCCCGCTCTACCAGCTTTGATTCACAAATGGAAACAGAGTCTTGAATTAAATTAAAAACCGCACACACACGCGCACACACACACGACACGGTGCAAAGGCTGTAAAACTCAGAGGCGTGATGCTGGAAAGTCCAGGTGTCCCTGAAGAGATCAGATCAACTAAAGCCAAAGGAGGGGGAATTAAATAAATGAAGGGAAACCAGCGGAGGGGATCTCGCTTCTGCCGGTGCTGTCTCCAGCATCGGGTCCCCTATGTCTGCCCAGGCCCCCGTGGGGACACAGGGACAATGTCACAGCCCCATGCTGTCCTGGCTGGGCTGTGGTGGGGTTGGGAGAGGCTGGTGGGACGTGCATGTCCTGCTGCATTTGCCTTGGACCTGCTTTCTCCTTTGCCACGTGCTTTGCTTTCGCTCCATCCCAGGACTGAGCTTTTTGCCATCTTGATTGTCAAGGACGAAAGGGAAAACAGCCCCGCCTCACCCCTCTCCTCTCTCTGCAGAAAGTTGTCCCGGAGCCGGGTTTGATCCAGCTCAATCCTTCCCACCAACAGAAGATCCCTGCAGAAGACCTCCTTCCCACGGACTTTCAGAACAAAATGACATTTAAAAAACAACCCCAAAACCCTAGAAAAACCCAGCGCCCCCTAAATTACCAGTTTCTTCCAAAACTCCTCCTTGTTCCTCATCCCGCCCTCCCCAAACATCCCAGAGGACTGACGGATCCCGGCTCCGACACACTGCTCTCCGAGCGATCGCCGCCGGCTGCAGCCAGGATGGAGGGCCGGGAAAGCATGAACCGAGCATGTGAAGAAACAACCCGAAGGCTTTGGACCACCGTCCCCCCGGCCCTCTCCTCTGTGGGAAATGGAAAGCCCCCAGGGCCTCAGCGCCCAGGCTGCGGATCAGCTGGGGAGCAGGATGTGCTCCAGAAAGTAGGTGATGGAGTCCCAGTGCTTCCAGAGGAAGAAGAGGAAGAGGACGAGCAGGGCGGTGCTGAGGATGCGCATGCGGGTCTTCATGAGCGGGGTGATGAAGTTGGCGATGGTGGAGACGAAGACAAGCAGCACGGCCATCAGGGCCAGGATGACGTTGATGAACTTGCCCAGCAGCGCCCGGGCGTTGGCGTTCTCCACCCCTTCCAGCTGCACCACTTGCTGCTGCTGCTGCTGCAGTGCACCCTCGTCAGGCAGGCCTCCACCGCCTCCTGCGAGGGACAGCACATCAGGGCCAGCCAGCAGCTCCAGGGATGCCCCACGAGGGCTTTCGGTACTTGCCCCGTGCTCTGAGACCTTGCTGCTGGAAAGTTTTGCTTGCACAGCTCCAATGGGTGCATGACCTTGTGACAGTGACCATCCCAGCTGGAAAGGGGTTTCCCTCTGCAAACCCTTGGCCCACGCGATGTGCAAGGAATGCCCCGTCCCGCTCTGCCTGCGCCGGGGAAGGTCTCGGTGCCAGGAGTACCTACTGCAGCAGGAGAGATGACCCAAACTGGGACAGCAGGGACTGTGGGTTGGCCCACGCGTGGCTCGGAACAGCCCAGTGCTGCAGCCATCCACCCTGCCTGAAGCACCCGGGGACTTCAGCACAGTGGGGACTCGCTGGGGCACAGACACGGACTTTTGGGGACATGGCTTAGTTACCTGCTTCTTGCTGTGACAGCATCACAGTGAGGACCTCATCTGGAGGGTGCTAGAAAAAGGGAACCCCCTTGCCCACCCTCTTTCCCAGCCCAGGGTCCCTCCCTTGCCCCGTGGATGGAGGGTGCAGCGGGGGGCTCAGCCCTCACACTCCCCTACCTGGATGTCCCGTGCCCTCTCGTAGGACTGGTAGGCCCCCTTCTCCTCCATGCTGGCCAGCTCCTGCTTCAGGTTGGTCATTTCGTTCTGGTGCAGCTCGGTGAGGTCGTTCAGCTGCTCCTCCAGGCGCTCATACCTGCGCACGGGGGGTGGAGGGGCACTGGGGCGGGCAGGTCCCCCCGTGGACCCCCTGCCCTCCTTCCCCCAACACTGGGGAAACCGCCCAGCCCCTCCGACCCACCCCGCTCCTGGCTGTAGCTGGTTAGGGCTGCCGAAGGGAAAGCATTGCATGATCCTCCACGGGAGTGCCGGGGGTCTGGCAGCGAGGAGGGCAGCGGAGACTGCAGCTCCCCACGTCCCTGGCATGCAGGGCTTAGCTGGACAAGCCCAGGATGGTGGCCTCGTGGTCCCCAAAGAGGCACCCTGGCACCCTACCATCCCTCGCTCTTCTTGCAAGCACTGTGTCATGTAGGTGTAATCCCGCTGCAGCTGGGCCTTGAGGTCCTCCATGGAGTCCTCCAGGTGTGACTGGCTGTCCTTGATCTCCCGGAGCTCCTCCAGGATGGTGTCGAAGTTATTGGGGTGGGTGGTCAGGGGGTTGGGCCTGTAAGCCGCCGGGTCCTGCCCCTGAGTTGCTGCCAGCAGCCGAGCCGGAGGTGGCACTGGAGCACTCGTCGTCGCTGCCGTACTTGGGGCTGGAGACCAGGGTGGCACTGCCGCTGAGAGCCCGCGAAGCCTCCTCCGGGTGCCCGTCATCCAGCGTGTCCTTCAGGTGGGCAATGTTGTCCGCGCTGCCGAACTTGTTCCGGATAAGGCTGGCGAACTCCCGGGGCTTGGAAACCACGGCGGTGTGGGTGGCCTGGGACAGACCCGAGAGCCCTCCCTTGACGCCCTCCACCACGCCGCCGCCGAAGCCGCTGATGCTGGAGCGAACGTTGGCGCCCACGTCCTTGAGACCCTGGTGCATGTCCCGAAAGACATCCTTGGGCTGCCGGGAAGGGCCGTTCTGCTCGATCTCCTTCAGCTTCTTGTGGTAGTGCTCCAGCTTCTTGTGCAGCTGCGCGATGGTCTGCGCCGACTTCTGGTTCTTCTTCTCAAAAACCTGCTTGATGCGGGAGGCTTGCTGCTTGTCCGCGTTGTTGGCCAGCTTCAGGTACTCGGCCACGTTGTCATCCCGAGCCTCCTGCTCGATCTTGATCTGCTCGGTGATCTTGAGGATCTTCTGGTGCAGGTGCTCGATGGCAGCTTTCGTCCTGTGAGGGTCAGGGGTGCCATCGGGGACATCCAGGCAGATGGTGCCGTCGGCGTCGCTGTGCCCGGCGGTGGAGGGCAGGCTGAGCGCGGTCACATCCCCCTTGTCCAGCTGCGAGCAAAGAGAGAGGAGGGCGATGCTCAACGGAGGGAGCAAACGCCCAGGCAGCCCCCGGGGAGGGGGCAAGAGAGGAACGGGGTGGGGGGGCAGAGGAGGGAGAGGGAGGCAAGAGCCGGGCAGGAGAATAGTTAACCAGAGCAATAGTGAGAAGTTGGGTTTTTTCCAGCTGGTTAAGCATTTCCCAGCCATACCACTACTGCTGGCATCCCAGGAATAAGCGAGTCAGAGGGCGCAGCAACAAAATAATTAGGGTTTCGGGGCTGGTTTTGGCCAATTGCTTTCAGCAAGGAGCATCCGCTGCCGGGAGCTCGGCTCTGACTTTCTGCCCTCGCTCCGTGCAGAGATGGGCACCGGCGTTTCTGGGCTGCTGGACACCCAGCGCCAGCCAGGGAAAAAGGAGCGAGGAGCTAAAACTGGAACCCAGGATCAAATCTCCCACCAAACCAGCAGCGAGAGCAGGGATTGAGCAACCCGGAGGTATTTTAGTCTCGTTTTCAGACTTTGGCTTTTAGCCTAGATGCACACAGAGTTTTTCAGCTGGAGAGAAACTCTGCCGTAAGCCCAATTTGCGAGTTACTCAGGAGCAGCTCCTGATCCCCAGAGAGCAGCTGGCTGCAGGTGCAGGGACTCCTTTGCTTTCTTTTCCAACATTTCTCACCTGGCAATGCCAGCCCCCTCTGCAAACACAAGCTGCCACCTAGAAAGTTCGGACACATGCTGATTTCCATTTTACAGATGGAAAAATTGGAGCAGTGGGAGAGGAAATCACTTGCCTGAGGCCACACTTAAAATCACTGACAGAGCCTGGACTGCAACCCAGGGTCCTGCCTCGCGCTCTCCAAGCCAGGCACGCTGCTTTGCCGCTTGAAAAAAATCACTAAATCTTTCCAGTTGCTGGGTTTTATATGCAGATTCTTATGCAAATATCAGTGGTTGTATAAATGGCTCCTGGCTTCTAATTAAGAGCTGCTTGAAAGTTAAATACTGTTGGCAGACCTAAATAATTTCTAATTTCCATCACACTTTCCCCGAATGACCCTTTAATAGGGATAATGCTGCGAGATCATTACTTAGGAGTGTGTTATCACCAGGAAATGCCTTGCGCGGGAGGGAGGAATGTTCTCAAGATGCTGCTTATAAACACTCCCGTCTGCAGCAGGTCTCGCGTGGGGCTTGGAAAACCAGGGGCAAGCGCTGCCCTCCTGTTATTTACTTGCATCTCCTCTTTCTCCGGCGCTGCTGTCCTGCCGGGAGCCCGTGGGTGTTGGTGCGGGGGTCTCCTTGCGGGGGTCTCAGCCTCCTTGGGAGGCAAAAGCAGACAACCCCAAGCTCAGTGGGAGCATCCCTCAGCCCCCTCCCCAAGGCTTTCCTTCTCTCCCCATTGCAGCAGCACCACTGTAAGATGGGGCAGGGGCTGGAGGATGGGAGCAAAGGGGAAACCCAGCAGCCCCCAGGCAGATGCGGGGCAGAGCTGGGAGCTGGATCAGCACTTTTTTTTTTTTTTTTTTTAAAAAAATAATGCCCAACAAACCGTCGAGTTTGCAGACCCCACTGCCAGGCTGTTCTTAGCCGCTCAGCCAGGCTGGGCCCTCCAGCCGCCCTGCGAAGGGTTTCACTTTGGTTTCTTATCGAGGGGCAGAAATTAGAAGCAGCAGGAAACAGACTTTTTGCCCGATGCCCAATTCTCTGAACCGTAAGGGACAAACCAGCCATGGAAAAGGAAAAAGCAGCCCCGGAGATGTCAAAATGGGAAACCCCAACTGGGCCAGTGAAGGGAAGAAGTTGCTCAAAGTTTGTTTCCAAAGAGGGAAAGGTTTGGGAATCACCGAAACCTTTCCCCTGCAATGCCAATCTTTTGGATTTATTCGTGGGAGTCTATTTGGGAGCGCAGGGGAAGGGAGGGCAGGATGGGTGGCAAACGCACGGACCCAACGCCACCCATCCCTGCTGACATGGCCGGGGTGAAATCCTTTCCCCAAGCCCTGCTCTCTCTCAGACACAGGGCACATCATATGAGAGCCACATCAGGTTATTGCTTTGAAAACAACAACCAAAAAAAGACAATACCGATCTCTGCAGTATTAACAGACAGTGCCTGCTAAATCCCAGCAAGCCTAAATGACAGTGCAGCGG